ATATATATATAATATATTATATATATAATCCTAATGACTTTCCTGTTTAGAAATACAAATTTTTATTCTAATTTTTATAAATTTTAAAAGAGAAAGTGAGTATTTAATTTAAAATATCAATTATTTTATGATTTATATTCTGTAATATTCAAAAGAAAACATTCGTGTTTGCTTTCTAGCATTTGTTTAATAATAAAACACACTTGATCATACATCAGTAGTTGAAGATCATTTAAGAACTTGAAATAGTAATGTTTAGTTCGGAAAAAATGCAATTTATCATAAATATATTTAGTTTTCAGACTGAAAATTTTATTTATTAACAGATGGGCAGTATTGCATACAGATCTTTGTCAAATTTTATTCGAACAAATGCAATTATTACTATTATTATAGTCATAAAATTATTTTTCATCCTTTTTAAAAACAACCTTCGTTGCAGATTGCATTTTATAACGAAAATTTATTTCGAACTAGAAAAAAGAATGCAAAAAGTAATTTTAAACTGAAAAATATCTACTAGTTTGTTGACATTTATCAAAAATATTATTTGAAAAAGTAATAACATATTAACTTAATTTTTGTTTCACAAATAAAATTTTTTTAAAAGTCTTTTTCTGAAACAAGCAAAATTAATTAATGCAAAAATTTGTTACAGAAAAAATTTGATAATTTAAAATGAATATATATATATATATGTACGAACGAATTATATTTGCTATTTTTATTAAAATTTACGAGCAGATATGATTTGCAAACGTTGTTGCCATAACACCAGCCTTCATATTTCTTTTCGGAACTTTATTTTTAGCAGTTTTATTTTTGCACATTTTATCATACCTTTTTGACTTTATAATTAAAAGTGTATTTCAAGTATAATAAAAGTACTACTTTGAAAAGAGTGCTTTTTCATAGACAACCGCAATTAGGCAATTTTATCCCATCTCTTATCTATCATTATTAATCCAAAAAATTTCGCTTATTACAAATAAAATCAACTTTGCACTCAAATTCGAAAATGAAATTGCAGAAAATGAAGTATTTTGTAAATACTTTTTCTGGTCATTTTGTTCAAAAATTAAAAAAAATTTCGGCGCCAGAATCAATATGGTTGATGAATATGTATTATATATATATAATACATTATTGTTGTCGAGTATCCGAGTGATTGATTCCGGCTGTGTGATCAGGGAAGCATAAAATCGAAGGTAAAATGGAAAACCCGCATCTGGAGTCATAAATAAAAACAAACGGAAAACATATGCAGCTGCTCCGTGAGGAGTGTGAGGGAGTACTGTGCCGGTGTACCAAAACGAGGTACCGGTATGGTCACGATCGTAGCACTCTTCAGTGGAATCAAGATTTCACAGAACAGATGACCAAAAGGTGCTAAAAGCGCTCTTTGCTCGTTTCAGGAGAATGTCGAAAGTAGAATGGCCACTGTGTCGATCCTTGTATAGCGACAAAATTCTTGCGTTCAACTGCACTCGGAGAACTGAAAAGCAAGCGAATTCAGTGATCATCAGTATTGCTTGTCGTCGGTGCTCATTGACACGATTTTTAAAGAGTCAGCGCAGCTTGTCAAAACCCAAGAACATACTTCAAGCAAAACAAACTGTACGAGTTTAAATTGAAATAACTGTTGCTGATACAAGAAGTCCAGGGGCGTGAGATAAAAAGTGGGCGGAAATAATATCGGAAAGCTTAACTCGTTTATACTTGGAGCGGTGAATCAAGCGGCGGGTGAATATGCCACACAGAATTCCGCCAAATCAATGACCGATATTTAAAGGCAGCAAGTGACACAGCAATGTATGAAAATGTGACAAGATAGAAGAAGAAACGATCGAGATGGAAGGCGAGCATAGAAAAGAAGGCAAGCCCTCATAAAACGGACTTAGCCGTTGAAAACTTGAAGGATTTAAAAGAGGCCAAAAGTGTATGGGGAGAAGGGGCAGAGGGCGCGGGAAAAAAAGGGAGGAGGGAATCACGTACTTGCGTTCAAGCGTGACTGCCATGAAGCTTTAAGCATATTGACAAAGCGTATGAGGTTTACGAAAGTAAAGTAAAAATGGTAGTTATGAGACCCGGTGTGCATTCAAAATACAAAACGTTTGATTCAAACTGATCAGAAAATAATTCTGTAAGAATCTGACCAAAGTACAGCCTGTCAGCTACAATGTAGGCACAGAATAAATCAAGGAGACGAAACTTTACAAGATAGCAACAAAATGTGTGACACGTGTCATGCAGTTGGATGTTGCCACAAGAAGACTCCTTGCATATGATTAAATAAGAATCGATGCCAGGTTCAAGGTGTGAAAGAGCAGGTACTGTTGAATCTGATGGTACGCAAAGAGCATGGAAACTCGTTATATACAAGGTGGTATGACGTAAAAAATTGTCCAGTTAATCATAGCTACCGACGAGGATATCTGACTAAATGCATTTAAAGCCTCAATCTGACTTTGTGGATCAAAAAATTTCTGAGAAGCATCACATTTAGATGGGCAGTTGTACTAAAAAACAATGGAGAAACTATAATAAAGCAGAAAATTCGACGAGGACTCCTTCAAGATACTAACCTATCTCCACTGCTATTCGCTTTGTGCGTGAACCCATTAGACCGTCATATTAGGTACGCAAATGTGACGTTCTCATTATCACATCTGCTGTTCCTGAATGATTTTAAGGTCTTTGCGACGGACAAGGATGTCATGAAATCTGTAGCCGAAGAAGTTCAGAGGTTTTTCGGTGTAGTAGGATTAAAGGTGAATCCAGCAAGTTCAGCCGCCAAAACCGAGGTATGCACTGATAAGATGGAGCTCTTGGAAGGAACTCAAGAATTCCATAAACGAAGGAACTTCCGTCAATGCTACTCAATATATTCAGGTTATACTCTATATAATCTGACCACATAGAGACATATATTCAAACGGTAGTGTTCAAGAAGATGCTCGAAAGCATTTAATGCCGTGGATTCCACAAAGATGAAGCAACAGAGATCAGCACAACAAACCTAAACGCTAGACAAGTACATTGAGAGTGCCAATACACGATTCAATAAAAGAATCAATGACGCACACAAGAAGATTAACCTCCGAACTGCTGGACATGATACACATATTTTCATAAATTACAAAATATAATTTTTGTGCGTTATTTTATACGGTTTCTTCAATAGCTTTTCAGTTTATAGATGCAATACCATAACATACAGTATCACAATAATACATCGATACAGTATTGAAGTTATAAGAATCAATTTTTCATTCAAATTAAATAATAAATATTGCAAAACAGATTATCCTACTTGATTCAATGATATCTTTCTAAGTAGTCCTTTGATCTGTAGATGCGATCAAAGTTAAATTAAATACTAATAATGAGACGTGAATAAAAAATACCAAAAATAACAAAATAATGATGTTAAAGTATTAGATTCTGGAATTATGTGCAGTTTTAATATTAAACAATTAAATAATTTCTGAAAGCTGGAATTAATGAGAGGTAAGCTATTGACTTTCTGATAGAAATTATTCCTAGAAATAAATACGCAAATTATCTTTAGATATAGCGGACTGATCAGTCAGTCCATCACCTGATTAATCGCTAATCAATCAGTTATTTGATATGGTGGATGTAAAACTAAGTTACTCATTGGAAGTGTGAACTATGAACTCGATAATTTACTATCTTTTTAATAACATTATTCAAAAAATAAAAGATAAAATTTGCAGTTAGGTTAAAAAATTATTTTAAAAGCAGTAATTTTAAAAAAAGCACAGGAATCACAATTTTATAATATCGTAACTTTCAGTTTTCATCGAATCAATAAAAATGAATAAAAATTTGAAATGAAAAAAAAGTAAAGTGATGATAAAAATTTCAGCAATTCGTGTTATCTGATAATTTTAAGCAAATTGTGATCATAGCTCATTCTCTTTCACTGAATAAAAATTGTTTTAAACTGAAACAATTCTTTACAAATAATTTTCTTTTTGCTAAAATTTTGATAGTTCTAATTTATTGTCATAAATTTGATTTTTGATTTTAGATTATTGTTTGATCTTAGATTTTAGAACAAAATTTCTTTTACAAATGGTAAAAATAATTTAGTCAAGCAAAAATAAACTTTTTATGTAAATAACATGGCAAGATATAAGGAAGATTTTTTTCCTCTTCTCAGTTATATCGCAATTTTTATCAAATCTTAAAAAAATTATCAGAAAAAAAATATCAAAAGTCTAAAAACAAAGAAAGACATAATTTTTAGGGCAATTTTTGAAGGATTCTTTATCAAAAAACGGAACATAAAAAGTACAGAAAAACAAAGAAAGTATATATATAACGATAATTTTCAATGATAACATTTATGGAATAGAATAATTCTTTTTATAAATTTATCCAAAATTTAAATGAACAAGTCATTTGCATTACTAAAAATTACTGTAAGAACAACTCTTAACTTTCAAATGAAAAAGAAATAATTAAAAATTGTGTCAAAAGTTTTGGATTCGTTTTTGAAAAAAAAATTGAAAATTTTTTTACTTTGAATTTTTAACAAAAATTCAGCCTTTTTTTTCATGAAAAAAGATTGCATAAAAAGTATGATTTTAGTTTTTTGAAAAAGATTCTATTACCTGAAGCTTTCCTGCTTTCAAATTAGAAACTTTTTTATTACTGTAAACTTGGAATAGTTTTTTAAAACTAATCATGGTACTACAGTAGTTTAATCATAAAGCTTATAGATAGCATTTTCACGACAATATCTATGAAATGTTTATTTTCAACATTTTACAACTCATGAAATCCATCTTATAAAAACTAGACATTGCCTACAAAAATGTACCATCTTTTCGTTTTATTATTAAACTTCTATGTGTGGATTTTTCTTTTTTTTCTGTACAAATAACAATGTTACAAAAAAGATTTTGTTTAAAAGTTACAATATCTGATATGAATTAGTTACAATATTCGATTACAGGTCTACACTTATCCTCAACATTGCGAATCAAAATCTCAGTATTTTTTTGTACAAAAAGCAATTTCAATGCATTCCAAAAATAAAGAAATATTGTTAATTATTAGTTTAATTCAAATTTTGCCTCAAACCTTTTTTAATCGTTTTTATCACAATTCATTTTGATTTAAATAAATAAAAACAGAATTAACTGTGCTATAACTTTCGCATTTTTAAATATTAATTCGTAATAATGTTCAATTTCTCAAATATTTATGCTGTCTTTTCATGAAATAAAACAATTTGTCATTCAAAAATTTTAAATCTGCTTTTGGATTTAAAAAAAAGAAAAATGTAATACAATGAATCTGCACATAAATATAATCAAATTATGCAATCAACATTTATTTATAAATATTTGATGACTGCAGATGTCATTAAAAAATTTATAAAGTAGTAATTAATAAATGTGATTATATCATTCATAAAATTTATTACATTCTAAAAAACAAAAATTTCTTTGAATTTTTTGAAAATTTTTTTAAACTTAAGAGAAATTTTCAGTCTTACAAAAAGTGCCTTCCTTGAATGATTTACAAAATTCAAAACACATGTTATCATAAAAATGCTTTAAAAGTTTAAATTAACAAAAGTTTAAGAAATTTTACTTAATATTAAATTATTTGTACCAGTTGGAAAAAAATGATACATACAATCATAAATTAAAAAATAAATCAAAAAAAGTTTTTCTTTTCGTTACAATGAAAATTTGACTAAAATAATATCTGGATTAATATTTTCTCAATTTTTTTTAATACAAATTAAGTTTTCAAAAAACAGCAAACAAATAACAACAACAAAAATAACTTGAAAAAAATGAATACTAAAAATTAATTAATTAATTTCTAATATAAAAAATCAATAATTATTTTAAAGCTAAAAAATTAAATTTCAGCATTCACTTTTTGGTATTCAGAATCATCCATAAGTTTGTCTTGCACCATCGAATTCTGAAAGTACAAAAAAATGAATACTTTTTGATTGCTGAAAAAGAAATCTGCATCAAATAAAAGTATCCCAAACAGTCAATATCTACCAATAAAACTACCAAATTAATTTTGCATTCACAGATAATTTCATAGGTAATATTTTTACATTAATAGGTAATATTTTTTATCAGTTACTATTTTTTTTGTTACTTCTGATTTTTTAATAAATTCTGTGCTATTTTTTTTCGATATCAAAAAATATTTGTAGTAATTGTTGCTCATCAAATCAGTTATTTTACTTTAGTTTCAGATGAAAAAACAATAAGTCAAACTTTTTCTCGATGATGTCGCATTTGATGGACACCGCAACGGATATCAAAACTAGATCCAAACTATAAAAATCACTCATTGGATCAAAAAATAAATTAAAAATTTACTGTAAATATCAAAATGAAAAAAAATTAACTACGGAAAATGAGATAAACTTTCTTTTTGTAAAAAGTTATTAACATTTAAATTAAAAATTTTTAAAATACCTTTATTTTTACAGCAAGAAAATACTATTAAATTTAATAATATTGAAGTAAATATCTAAATAAATAATTAAATAAAATAATGTGCAAAACTAAAGAAAACTATTTTATGCCAAAAAAAATTAAATTATAAGTAAATATTAAATTTTTTATTGATTTAACTTATAAAAAATTTATACTGTGAGTTAAAAATTATTTATAGCAAAATTATTACCAACCTTTTCAAAAACAGTTCGATCGTCATTTTTTGTGATCCAAATATAATTGATGATTAGTGAAAGCACAAATAATATTACAATAAAGCATAGTGGAACAATTATTGGAGCCAAATAATCAAGCCAATTAAATATTTGTTTAGGCATTTTTGTTTATCGTTTATTAAATGCCTTAATATTACTTCCAAAATTAATAACAAATAAAAAACAGAAATTTAAGCATTAAATTAAATTCTTTAGCTAATTAAAAATTAAAATATTGGAAAAATTTATTGAAATTAGAAATTGAAGACTGATGATTGAACTTCCTGTTCCATAAATGACTGAAAATATTACTACTATAGCTTAATTTGAGCAAGATTTTATTATCACTTATTATATAATTGCTAGACTAGCAAAACAATTTTGCACTTGAAAATTGAGTATTTATACTTAATAGTACTCATGTAAAGAATTTGAATTTAAAAATAAAATACTAAAAAATATATATATAATGTAACAGGCCTTATTAAAATAAATTAAGACCATTATGAAAAGTAAACTAACAAACATTGCAAGTCAACAATGAATTTGTCAAAAAAGTATGCGAATTATTACTGTTAATAAGCAAAACAAATGATTATCAGATTCTTTTTTAAAAGTATAACTTTTAAAGATCAAAGTTACTAAGTCAAGTTTGATTTGTTATTCTATTGTGTACTTTAATTTACTTTAACAACTGAACAGCAGCATAATACAACAAAATGATTGATCAGATTTGTTAAAATCATAACTGATCAGTCATCTTCTTTGTTTTGCAAAAAGTAATCACGTGATAACATAATATAGTGCAGAAGTAAATATTTTCCCGTTCATGATCAAAAAATAAGAAATTCGAAGAATCATTGATTGATCTAGCTTTGTAATAAAACCAGACTTTGAGTTACTGCTATCAAAAATTCATCCCAAAATTAATTAAATAAAAAAATTAACAGATCACGTCACTAAATTCAAAATTAAAAAATTTATAAAATAATAAAACTATTTCTTAATATATTTTTGAGATTGAAATATAAATACATGACTAAATTGGAATATTACATCCAAAACTTAAAAATTGGTTTCGCCAGTGACAATTATTTTTGAAAAAATTAGCATTAATGCACAAAAAAATTTTTATAAGAAATATCTTTTGCTATATTTTTTAAAATAAAGTAAAAATAATCATAAGCACTTATAATGCTCATAATGAATATATATGCATGCAAAAAAACTTTTGTAAAAAATATGTTTTATGGTAATAATAAATAATGGTAACATAATTATTAACTAGAAAATAATTATTTTAACTTTGTATAATTGAAAAAAGGGGTGAACAGATCAATAAATACATGATTTAATAAAAATAGTTTCATAAAAAATATATTGTTTCACTTTACGACGTGAGTTGGAAATTGAATCTAACTTATGATACAATTACAAATTACGGCATCTGAACAGAATGCTATCCATACACGTACTGCCTCTTTTATTTACGATTCTAAAGCAAACTTAACTTAATTAAATTGCAAAATGCATCAATTTTGAAATAATTACTGCTTTATATATTATTGTCAATATAAACAATAGTAGTAACGACAACAAAAGTAATGAACATAATTATTATAGTTATATTATAATTATTACAATTATATTACAAATATTCACATTAATAAATAAATATTAAAGAATCACATTAAACTGCATAATAGTGTGTGAGAAAAATAGTAATCATACAGGAAAATGCTAATTTGAAGTTAAAAATCTTAACACAAAGCAATAAATGCAAAAATAGACTTCGTTAAAATTTTTAATTGCAGTCATTTCAGCAATAACAATAATAATGTTAATAGCAATATTAGCAATAATAAATAACATACGATATCATTTTTTATAATTAATAACCACTTCCATTATGCTTTTTGAATTAAGCATAGCTTTTTAATTGATCCATTTTAGTCATAATTGTTTTGAAGAATGAAAATGTATATAGTTTATGAATGATTAATAAATATCAAGTATATTTGTAA